AGGGTTCCTAAGAGTTCCAAAAGTCCTTCAAAAGTTGAGAAAAGTTCCTAAAAAGTTCGTGAAAGTTGAGAAAAGTTCATAAGAGTCCAGGGAAAGTTTGCAAGAGTCCATGGAGAGTACATTGGAGTCAATGGGAGCACTGAGATGTCGGGATTCATTTGCTGAAGAGGAGAAAACTACAAATCCAATTTCATTAAGGGGCAGAACAACCTGTCAAGGGTCCAGGGGCCCCAAGGGGTGACGCAGCAGGTTCCCCGGGGTTGACAGGTTTCTGGACACACATGAAATGGTGGCATGGGCATTGTTGCAGCATGGAGCCATGGATTGAAGCCAGCTGGTCCCCACATTGGGTCTTTTGAAACAAAAATGATTTTCCTGAGGTGCAGGGGTCAACATTGCAAAAAGTAAGATAGCAGTTAGTCTTAAAATTAATCTGGGAAAAGGATGGCACCAGTTTGGAGTCGATCTGTTGTCCCGCGGATACGGGGGCCCAATGGGTTTCCGTATCCACGGTTCAGAGGAACGCAGTTTCGGCCTCCCCGGGACACTGTAAGAGCATCCCGGGCAAGCCAGGAGGGATCCGCGGTTTGGGAAAGGAAAAGTTTATACTTGTTAAGGTTTGAGACAGTAAAGGGACACAATGTATCACTATGAAGAGGCAGAGTTAGAAAAAGGGAGACTTCTTTATTAAGGGTTGTTACATTGAAGTGGGGAGCTCATTTTAGTGAGGAGAAGGGAAGAAATAAGTCCTTGTTGTTAGAGCTGCTGCAGGAACCACATCCCCTTGTCATCAGGAAAACCCGGGTTCCACAAAAAGGAAGGAAGGAAAGAAAGGAAGAGGGATAAAAACAGGAAGGCAGCAACCCCTACAACACCTGGGCAACAGTGGGTATATATGCTAGTTTGCTATAACAAAAAGTGTAAAATGCTTTTTGGAGATGTGGAAGGAAAAATAAAATAGTATTTTTAGTGCAATACATTCACTCTAAGAGAACCATTGGGGTAAATCGGGGTAAATTGTAGGAGTGATCCAGAAACATGATGCATATATTCAGTTTTATCCTATTTATTTACTGTATTGTTATAAGTGCTTTACTTAACTTACTTATAGAGTGTAATTAAGATTTATCAAGCCTTCTTGTTTGGTCTGATATTGTGACATGGCCTAAGGGCTAATCAATAAAATTTACTGTTACTTTTAAGAGAACCAGTGTGTTGCAGCCATCTGAATGGCGAGTTAGGACTCTACTAGACCAGGATTCAAATTCCTGCTTTGTTATTGAAACCTCATGGGTGACCTTGGACATTGGCAAATCTCAGCCTTGCAAACAAATTGCTATGACAATGTCAATATATACAAGAAATATTTTGAAGGCACATAACAAACTCATATATTTACACTATTTATCAGAGAATACTCATTAAGCTTAAACGTTTAATTCCCAATTACAGCAACACACCAAAAACAAAATGCTTCTGCATATAAATCACACCGTTGTAACCTGGGAGCAGCCACCCAGATTTTCCATGGGATAAATGGTTTTCTATGGAATAATTCCCAAAGAGCACAGTGGAACTTAACTCTGCCCAACTATGTGGTACATCTGTCCTCAAATATATTAGTTTACTGTATGCAACAGGTTAACATGGGAAAGAAGAGTGAGTATTCGAAATTAGGACACTGGCTTGCAATCTGAAGCAATCTAGTTCAGAATACCAAACAGCCACAAATCTAATTTGAAGGGGAAGTCTTCCAACTGCAAGATATATAACTAAAGTATTCCTCTTGTTAAGAACAATATGAAAGCACATTGCGGATTTTGGAATGCTTATTTTTGGACATAAGCAAGTGAGAACAAGGGAACAGTCCACTATAATAATGATTAATGATAATAAGAATAATAATGCATCACACAGTCCTAGATGCTTGGGAAGTGTTCAGCTTGTGATTTTGTGATTCGAAATCCAGCATATATATCTCGTTTGCTGTGACATACTGTGTTTTTGTGTCAGTAAAATAATAATAATAATACTGCCCTCTTTCCCCAGAAGAACTCAGGGTGGTTTACACATAAAAAGGCAAACATTCAATGCCGCAAAATAGGTACAGATACAGCAACATAATACAAAACAATGGAGAGTAACAACAGAAAACTTACAACAGAGGAATTAAGTATCAAAATAAAATAAAAACAGGAACAATCTATTAAGACATAAATACTAAAACATAAACATTGCAAAGTACATCCTAAAAACAAATTGTGAGATATTCCATTAAAAATGGCTGACAAGAAGTATCATAACAACCGTCTAATAGATTAGCCAGCAGTAAAAACAAAATGTGCATAAATTATAGTTTTGTTAAATTTAGGATAGACAGAAGAAGCACTGGTGAGAGCAGTTAAGATCGCCAATATTAAAAATACTAGAGAAATGATTAAATTATGTTTGGAAAAAAAATTCCCCAGAAAATGCAGCAAGGGGCGACGCCTCCTGTGGCTTGCTTAGGCAGAAATGATTTCATTAAAATTGATTTGATATAGACAGACAGACAGACACACAGGTAAGACAGGAAGAAAAGGATATAAAAGTATATGAAAGTATATGATACTTGTCTTTCTTTGGTATAAAATCCAATAATCCCAAACACTTGGATCAATCCGACTCTTCAGTTAATCTTTCAGCCAGCTCTACTGCTCTTTGGAATGAATAAAGTTTGATTTTGTTGTGTCTAAATAAAAGCAATCAACCTAGCACAGGGCTTTTATGATGGTTCCCCACCTCCGGCACCTATTTCTATCTTAGTAGCACTAAGCAACGTTTTTATTTAATGCAGTGACATTCTATTATCATATAGTTATTACATCCAATACTTGTTTAAGGCAAGTGTGAATGTTGCAAATGATTACTGGTTAGCATTGAATAGCCTTGTAGCTTTAGAGCTTGGCTGCTTCCTGCCTGGAGGAATCCTTTGCTGGGAGGTGATTAGCTGGCCCTGATTGTTTCTTGTTTGGAATTCCCCCATTTCTGAGTGTTGTTCTTTATTTACTGTTTTAATTTTAGAGTGTGTTAAATGTTAATATTTATTGCTATTTTCTGTTTATGAGTTTTATTTCTTGTTTGTATTACTGTTGCTATTGTTTTTATTGTTGTATTGTGGGCTTGGCCTCATGTAAGCCGCACCGAGTCCCTTGGGGAGATGGTAGCGGAGTACAAATAAAGTTTTTTTAAAAATTATTATTATTATTATTATTATTATTATTATTATTGATGTAGTGATGTATTGATATTGATGTTTAATGATTTGTGATGCTATTGCTTTTAAATGCTTAATGATTTTGTATTGTGTATACCTAAATTGTTGTAAACTGCTCTGAGTCGCCTAAAGGCTGAGAAGAGCGGTATACAAATAAAGTAAATAAATAAATAATTATTATTACTATTATTAAATACTAGTAGCCAGAATTTGTTCATTTTCATTGTTTCTTCCTTTTTGTTGAAATTGTTCACATGCCTGTGGATTTCAATAGCAAGAGTTCCTTCTACCCAGAAAACAGAGATATTCCAGCCAGGAAACAATCAGGGCCAGCTAACACCTCCCAAAAAAAGACTCCCTCAAGCAGCAAGTAGCCAGGCTTTGAAGCTGCAAGGCCATTCAATGTTAATCAAGGTGGCCAATTGCAACATTCACACCTGCCTTCAACAGGCAACAGTTCTTTCTCCCACCCTGGACATTCCACAGATATATAAACCCCACTTGCCTAGTTTCCAACGGACCTCACAACCTCTGAGGATGTCTGCCATAGATGTGGGCAAAATGTCAGGAGAGAATGCTTCTGGGAGATGGCCATACAGCCCGGATAACACAGCAAACTAGTGTTTCCACCATGAAATCCTTTGACAACACATTTGAATAGTTAGCCAGGATCACAGGTAAACATTAGTTTAAACTCAATGACATTCTAAGAGTGAGAGATATGACTGTGAAGTTCAAAATATTAATGAGATGTACATTATAATTAATTAGGGTCAATCAGGATTTAGAACTGTTAAAATCTTATTTTCCGTTGAACCAGTTTAATTAATTGTTATATTACATTTCTGCCTGAGAATCTTAATGCTGTGGATGAATCTAGTGACATGGTCTGTGGTGGAAACAGTGATTTGGAGGGGAGTGGTATACAGTGGTGTGTCTGTGCAAAGGAAGCCTCGCTTAGGAAACATGAGAGCATCTAGAACAGTGGCTCTCAACATGTGGGTCCCTAGGTGTTTTGGCCTACAACTCCAAGAAATCACAGCCAGTTTACCAGCTTTTAGGATTTCTCGGAGTTGAAAGCTAAAACATCTGGGGACCCGCAGGTTGAGAACTACTAATCTAGAAGATCTCCACATCTGGAGCCATTGCACCTAGGTGGAAATCCTCATGTTGGGTAGCGAGTAGGACAGTGGGACAACCTTGACAGTCTCATCTTCTACTGGCAACTAGTTATTATTATGCTTCTATGGCCCTGGTCAAAAAGGGTTCCACAATCCCGATACAGAGTGAAACATTCAAATTAAGAATATAAATCTAATTCCAGTCTACTAACATTCTCTTTATTCCAAACCATTATTTTACAATGCCTTTTACAAATAAAAGGAGTTTGAACTTTATTGCAGACATGCATATACAACACAACATAAGTCTTTACGTAACATTCTCAAGGAAAAGTTTTTAAGGGGATAATTGGCACTACCAAAACTTTCTCATCAAAACACACAAAATATTCTTGATTATGTTCTTTTTTACTCTAACAACATCTACTCTTCTTAATTAACTCCTTCTGATTGGGTGGATTCTGTTCATTTGTTAATATGACTGAATTAATGAATGTCAATCCGGAGCCATGTGGTGAAGATCAGATACATTCAAAGAGAGAAGTGGCTTTCAAATCTTTTAGCTGTGAAGGCGAGGGTCTTGATCTCTCTCTCAAATTCTTATTTTTTATATTTGACATATTATCTGCTGAAATGCTTAACTGCTGTCCTTTGCATTTTGAAAAATTATGTTTTCAATGTTTCTGCAAAACAAAATTATGTTTACAATGCTTGAAATGATCATTAGGCAGTTTGGAGTAATGTAATTTTACTTCAAGATACGAACTAGTATAAATTGGACTTGTATATTATTTCTAAAACTTAGCATGACTCATATTTTATGAACTTATGATATACCACAGTGAAATACTTCATGGTAGAAGTGCAATCTCTAGCTTACATTGGTCTGAATATATAACATATAGGTAGGTGAAGTGGGGCTGCAGTGGCACAGCGAATTAAATTACTAAGCTGCAGAACCTGCTGACTAGAAGGTCAGCTGTTTGAATCTGTGGGACATGGTGAGCTCCTGTTGATAGCCCCAGCTTCTGCCAACCTAGCAGTTTGAAAACATGCAGATGTGAGTAGATTAATAGGTACCACTTCAGTAGGAAGGCAACGGCGCTCCATGCAGTCATGCCGGCCACATGACCTAGGAGGCATCTATGGACAACACTGGCTCTTCGGCTTAGAAATGGAGATGAGCACCACTCCCTAGAGTCAGACTCGACTAGACTTAATGTTAAGGGAAAACCTTTAGGTAGGTGAAGGCCATAAGCAGGGAAACTGTTCAAATATCGCATGGGCAATATTAGTCCCTCTTAGCATGCAAACAATATCTGCATAGAATGAATGCCTACCTAATTAATAGTTTTATAAATGTAATTTTAAAGAAAGGAATTAACTTAAAGATAGAAATAAAATATAATTTAGAAAATTGAGATAGCTTGAAGACTTATGCAAAGGTTAGAATAACACTACAACAACTTTTGATCTGGTAAAGTTCTGATACTATTGATGGCTAATCAGTAAATGTCTGCATGTAGCGGAGGACACATCTGAATCGACAGATGATAAAATGGTCCAGGTAAGAGCTGGAGAGTTGCAAAGTCAGAAAATCATCCTTGGTTGGAAGCCAAAAAGAAAGCTGAAGAAGCACAAGAAGAGGAAAAAGCAAAAGACAAACCAGAATCATAAACTGTAAACAACAACGAAGAGTGAAGTAAAATTGAAAGTTCACAAGGAGAGGCTCCAATAGCATTGCTGCTGCAGCAGATGAAAAGGAACTGGTGTTTTGGAGGTATCTATCTATCTATCTATCTATCTATCTATCTATCTATCTATCCATCCATCCATCCATCCATCCATCCATCCATCCATCCATCCATCTACCAATCTAATTGGGGACAGTAGTTGGGGTTACTGCCAAAGATGTATCTCTTGTATTCTAGAAGTTCCAAAGATGCTCTACGTAGGTACAGGATAACCCATTTATGAAATTCACAGAGGCCATGAAGAGGAAACAGTGTACAGACAGTCCCCAAGTTACAAATATCTGGCGTACAAATGACTCCTAGTTAAGAACAAGGGTGAGAAAACAGGAAGTGAGAGAAATCTACCCCTTAAGGAAGGGAAATTCACTGCTGAAATAGTTATCATGGTGCAAAAGGAGTCTCCACTCAAGTTTCTCATCAATCCTTCTTTCCACAACTAGCAAAAATTTTCCAAATCCAATGATCACAGGGACAGAAAGTGAGGTGACATCTTCTGAAAGAGGCACAGATAGCAAAACAAACGCCACAGGTGTTAAACCTTACCTATGTGATCCAAAACTAAAACAAACAAACATATAGAGAGAGATTGGGGGGGGGGGGGAGAGGCAGGAATGATACTTAAAATGTGCCTTTTCCAGCTTACATAAAAACTCAAGAACAAACCTAAAGAACCTATCTTGTCTGTGACTTGGGGCTGTCTGTATTGTTGCTTGCCTAAACTATACCATACTCAACGAATCAATGGCAACTTGGTAAGTCAACACTTGAGTCATTTTCATTGATTTAATGAAACTAACCTAGTTGGGGCTAACAATTGTATTTAGGCCTTTGTGTTTTTGAGCAAGAACTTAAGAATCAGGAACAGAAGAAAGCTTATAAATGGAAGATTTTCTTGTTTCCTTCTCCCCTGCAAAACTATACAATTCTCCAAAAACCACTTAGGATGCGTCCGCACTGTAAAAATAATGCTATGGAACAGGGGTCCTCAAACTTTTTAAACAGAGGGCCAGGTCACAGTCCCTCAAAATGTTGGAGGGCCGGATTATAATTTGAAAAACAAAACAAAACCATGAATGAATTCCTATGCACACTGCACATATTTTATTTGTGGTGCAAAAATGCTTAAAAACAATAGAATAATTAAAATGAAGAACAATTTTAACAAATATAAACATTACTATTTCAATGGAAAGTGTGGGCCTACTTTTGGCTGATGAGATAGGATTGTTGTTGTGTGCTTTCAAGTAGTTTCAGACTTAGGTTAACCCTGAGCGAGGGTCGGGTAAATGACCTTGGAGGGCCGCATTCGGCCCCCGGGCCTTAGTTTGAGGACCCCTGCTATGGAATCATGGATTTTGTAGTTTGGTGAAGCACACACACTATTAGACAGAAAAGACAAAAAACCTTATAAAACTAGAGATCTCATGATTCCACAGAACTGAGATGTGGCAGACACAACCCACAATTCAAATCATGATAGAAGTGATGAATGCAGAAACTCAATTTTGTTTGCATTTCACTTTTTCTTCAAACTGTTGAAGGACACAAAATTTAGAACCAAATAAAAGCATTTATCACAATATACTACTTAACTTACCTTTTTCTTTTTACTTTGAGGGAAACCATTATTTTCCTCAGGTGAGCACAGGTTACTTTCTAGGATCACATTAGCAGGCCTTTCATTCCAAGCTTGGGAATGCTGAAAGTTGTGTTTGGTGCTCTTTCCTTCACCATCAGTCAGATTTGTTTTCGTGTCCAGCCTTTTAAACTGGAATGCTTTTCTCCAGTTTTTAAGCATCTGATGTATAACTACAGGGAGAGGTGATTTTCCCTGTTCAGAACAGACAAACTTCATGTGTTCAATGGTTTTCATGATTTTCATAATGTGAGCTATTTTCCCCAAATCCTTCCTTTCAGCTAACATTAGTTTTTCAAGAAGTGAAGAAAACTGGTTGAAGTTGCATTCTAATTCATAAACAGTACTCCCATAATTTAAACTTATGCTATATGGTGCCAGGTCCACACACCTGGCGATGGAAGGCTTCGATTTTCTTAGCAGGTTTTTAGTTTTGGAAAGTTCTGTAAGCTCTCTTGTAAAAAGGTGTACTGCATATGGGCAGTTTAAATTCCCTGAATAGTCATAAATAACATTTAACTCCTCTTCAATTTCAGAAATTGAAGACTTTATTAGTTCTAAAATATTACCTTTCCGGTAAGAAAAAGAAGCCATTTTTTCCTGTCCCTGAAAAAATTCAGGCAGAAGTGACAAATCAATCCATAGCAAACTTCGAAATCGTGGCTTGTTTACTTTTTGAGCTATTGAATTTTGTAAGTATACAACAGTTTCGTATACCATTGCCAGTTCAATATAAATCTCAATAGCTTCTGGTTTCAAGATGACTGGTTTTATGCCATCACTTTTCATAAATCCCAAAACATTTTCTTTTGTGATTAAGACACTTATGTTCTCTTCTTGTAAAATCTGAAAATACTTTTGCAGCATCTCCATGTGTTCTGTACACCGACACATAAGCTGCTCCAGTCTTTCAATGTCTGCAGACTGTGCTTCATCCAGTATTTCACCAATAAAACAAATATTAGGCAATATGAGAGAATTTACAATGCAATTATTTGCATTTTGTTGCCTAGCTTTCTTTTCATGAACATGTGTTTGCTGGACAGCTTGCTCTGTAATTTGCTGTATCATGTTTTCATATGTTTGATAGAACTTAGACAAGTCAACTATATTGAGCATTTGTCCATCTTTTAAATTTCCATTTATGAATTTCTCTTTCCAAACAAGACTTTTAGCTGCGTCAAAAAATATGTGCTCAAGACCAAACAATGATGATTTTATATTCACTCCTTCACAGGTTCTTATAAATTCTAACTTGGTAGTAGTAATGTCCATTATAAGCCAAAGATGGAAGTCCTTTTCAGCACTCAGATGAATGCCTGGAAGATCTTTATATACACTGATTAACTGCATTGTGTTTTTTCTTGTTGCTTCTAGATCATCTAGCGTATCACCATAGTTAGCTCCACAAACATATGGCACAGAAAGAAAGAAATCAGAGTAATCGGAATTAGTTTCCATTGCAGCCTCACATTCCTCTATTTCTCGTCTTGACTTCAAGAAGGTATAGTAAGAATTATTTTCCCATCTTGTGTTCTCAAAGACGTCTACCAGTTGTTTATGATAGCTCTCTAGCTCATTAAGAGGACTGTATTTTAATCTCCTTTGAAAAGCAGGATAGAAATTTGATTGTTGTTGGGTACCTGTCTGCCCACCAAACAGCTCACTGCAGAGAGAATTATCATACCAAAGCAAGCTTCGGAAAGTTGGTTCCCTTTCTAGAAGTTTCTTCTTATTTTCAATGAACTCAATTGTTTCCATAACAATTTGTAGTTCAACCAGTGATTCTATAGCGCAAGGATCTAATTTACAACTAGGCTGCAGGCTTCCTCCGGCACTTCCAAGGATCTCCCTAGAAACCAAAACATGTTCAAAAGAACAACCCTGCTTTTTCTGAAAAGCTTCAATAAATACAGGAAGAATACGCTTGCAAAACATTATTTGTTCATGTAACAAAGCCAAAGATGAGGTTTCATCTGCTTTTCGCAAGATCTCTGGTATTTTAATTTGGAAATCACTTGATGTTAGTTCAGTTTTCATTTGTTCACATGTATAGTCACTACCAAGGTCTGTGTTGCTGTTGGGAAGTCCAACAGAAATATAATTTTCATTAGGCCTAGTCATAGAAGATGTAAACATTTGCTTTGTTTTAGTTGTAATGACATCATAATAGGCAGAAGCTGAAGGGGAGGTTGCAGTAATAGATTCAACATGCTCTTCTGAAAAAGTCCTCGCTAACAAGCTGGTACTGGGTTGACCGCAGGTGGTTTCCTGACACGATGTGCTATAAGTTGTATGTGGCAAGTGTTTTTGGTCTAAACTCATATTCATTAATGGCTTCACTAGAATGTCATTGATGACACATTGCTTTGGATCTGAAAAATGTTCTTTGGTTTCCAAGAAAGCTATTCCTACGTCTTCACATCCCTGGAAAGCGTAATTGGAAGATGAGTGGGATAATTTATTATCTTCCAAGGATACAGGAGATTCTAAATAACCACTGGGACAAACCACCTCAAAATTATTTTCTGGTTGGTTCACAGATTTTGTCATTATGTCAGATTTTCTACATCTATTGTACTCAGCGGCACAGAATTCCCATTCAGCTTTTCTGCTTAGTTCACTGGGGCAAGAATCTTCTGGTTTTAAAAACATATTTTCCATATGAAAATTTGCCTCTTGCTCCTGTCCAGTGAAAGATTCTACTACGAGCCTTTCAGAGCTCTTCTCTAAAATTTTGTTTGATGAATCATTGGACCTTGTATTCAAATGCACTAATCCAACATCATGTATTTGAGGAGTTAACTGAACTTGGCCGGCATCATGCTTCTGTTTTGCTGGTAAAAGAAAGTATCTCTCTGCAATAATACTTGTGTATTCGTTTTCTTCTACTGGGCACATTTCCATAATTCGTTTTTCATCGCCAACATTTTCTAGCATCAGAAAATTGGGAGATAGCTTAGAAGTATCACCTGGTTTAAAAACATCTTCCTTGGCAGAGGATTCTAAAGCAGTATGAGATGTTGTGGCAAGGCTAACTATATCCATATTCCTATTAGAAATTACTTCAACTTTATTTTTGTCTACATGAGAGACTAGTTCGTTTCCTATAACAGACAGGTTCAAATGGTTTGCAGTATTTTGGGTTGCAGAGAGATTATTTTCAAAGCTCAAGTTTTGATTTGTGTCTTCTACGATATTGCTAGAAGTGAAATTTACAGAATTTTGCTCATCACTCAGAGTGGATTCATTACTCAATGAATTAGAACTCGCCTTATTAGGGGTAGGCGTATCAGAGACTACTTCAGCTTCTCTTATTGCTGTATTTGTCACACTGTCACTTCTACAAGGCATATCTGAAAGGCAATCAGAAGCTGCAAAGGAACCTGAAGGCAATGATCCATTGTGTACCATTTTGTTAATGTGTGATAATGAGATGTTTGACTTTTTCTTTCTGGTTTTTGCTCCAATTTTTAAAGACTGAACTCTCCTTCGAGCTTTTCTCAAGTGGAATAATGCTCCACCTATCTTTTTGGAAAGACGTCTGTTTTTACACAGTAATACTTCCCTGTTATGTGTATTAAAAGTATTCTTAATGCGCTTTTCAGACTGCACAGTTTTTTTAAATTGTCCCTTTGACAACGAAGAAAATGTTGCTGATGAGCATTCTTCTTTGGTGTGACAAGGTTTACAATTTTTCTGAACTTCTGTACATTTCTCCAATGTTTTGCCTTGCAACGATTTAATACTCTTTTTTAGTCCTGAATATTTAGATGCACGTTTCCCAACTTCTTTCTTCGATTCTGACTGGAATAAGGTGGTCACTGAAATTTCTAAATCAGGATACACAAATGTATTAAACGAGTCGGTTTCCATGTCTTCTAAAACAGGTTTTTCTCTAGGTAAATGTTCATTTACATTCTCATTCCCAGAAGGGTTTCCTGGAACTTCTGTGTTTGCACTATCCCAATCCATACGCTTTTGTAAATAAACGTATATTCCTTCTTCATCAGCTAAGTTTTTATGATCACATAACTTTAGTGGTCCCGAGAGACATTTCTTATGCCCTTTCAATGCATCATCCATCTCACAAATAATTTTAAAATCTTGGACATCCCTATATTTAATTTCTAAAGCTTGCTCACATATTTCTGGAATATTTTCTCTACCAAAAATACCTGTGTCGAACATTTCAGGATTTGCATTTGAAAAACCTGTAAAATCTGTATTGTCAATTCTTTCTTCAACAGAATTCTCTTTTAATTCCTTTACTATATGTTCTTTCTTTTCAGCTACTGTTGGTTTTGTGGTTTCAGATACTGAATCTATTTGTTCAATCTTGTTATGAACTTCGAGTATACCAGACTTTTCAGATTGTTTAACTGCTTCAAGCTCATTTTGTTCTAAATACTCTGTACTCATTTCAACTACAGACCTTTCAAAGATATACTGATCTTCAGTACATACGTCTCTCAAAGCATTTTCAGAGAAAGGAATTTTTCCAGACTGTAATGTATTATCTTGGAGATTACAAAATTTAATGCTGTGTTCTCCTTCTGATAAAGTACAACTGTTCATGAAATATTTTGCATCAAGCGCAGCTGAGCAATGTTTTTCAGAAGTGTAATTGTCATCGTCATTATCTTCATTGCCGTCACATAACCAGCTCCTCACTTCTTCTCTACCATCAGTCTCATCGTTACGAGATGTTATATTTTCACGGTTTTTTCTGTACATATATTGATCATTATCATAATAATTAAAAAATGGTTCAATTATACATTCGTGTTCTTTGCTACTTGGATGAGAATCCTGAGGTATCCAGACATTACCCACTGTTTGATAAGGGTTGAGTTGTGATGAGAATAGCTCTGAGTATTGCATTTCTTTTTGTTCTTGGAGATTTCCCCCCATTACTGTTACTGAATGTTGGCTGTCTATGGATTTGAAATAATGGTTATCTAGATACGTTTCCAAAGCAAGACTGGTATAAGTGTTCTGCCAGCCCAAAATTTCTTTTTCTATATTACCTAACCACTGCTCATGATTTAACAGAGGTGATGGTAAACATTCTTCTGGAGTACATTCCTTCCATGTTGTTTTCTCCATACACTGCCTCTGACCAGAGACAAGACTGGAATCAAACAGAAGAGACGTTGCAGGTAAAATGTACGGTATACCAAGAGCAGCAGACATTTGCATTTCCAGATTGCAATCAAGCTTCTTTTCATACGTTAAACTCTCATGGGAGGCTGCTTCTCCATTTTGTTTCTCCAATATTTGTTGCCTCCTGGCTAATCTTGGATCCTTGATCGATTTTGAAGTAGTTACAATACTTAAGCCACTATCAGGAGAAACTCCTTTATGAATCTCCAAGAGCTTTTCTTTATCTATATGGCAGTTTCTAATATCTATAGAGGCATCCATTTCAGGTGTACAGCTCTCTATGGGCTTTCTGAAATGTTCATAGATAAGCTGACTTTTACCTATCCTGGTTACACGTGTACAGTTCTCCAGCGGGAGATCTCTTTCTGTGAAGAGAATAAAGCAAAACATTAGGCTTGATGGAGTTGTATCCATGAAAAAATTCTAACGTCAGCCTAATGGCAGTAATAAGATAATTACAGTTTGATCATTGTCCTATAGATGTTGAAAAGTGAATGTATTATTATTATTATTATTATTATTATTATTAATAATAAACTTTATACCCCGCCACCATCTCCCAGAGGGACTCAGGGCAGCTAACAAAGCACTCAAAGGTGCAAACAGATAAAATACAAATATTGCAGAAACAATAACATAAAAGAGTAACAGCCAACATACATATCTCACTTCATAAAACATTCTGGTTAAAATTAATAAAATACAGCAATAGCTGCAGGTATAAAACAACAATAATCAATCTCAGTCATGTAAAGTGAAATTCATGTGTCTCCACGTATATTCATTAAAGGAATCTAAATATGGTTGAAGGCTTGTCGAAAAAAACAAGTCTTCAGTTGTGAATGGAAGGCCTGGAGAGCGGGGGCTAGTCTGATCTCCCTCGAGATGGCATTCCAGAGATAAGGGGCAACCACTGAGAAGGCCCTCTCTCTCGTCCCCACCAACTGCACTTGAGATGGAGGCGGGACTGAGAGGAGGGCCTCCCCAGTAGATCTTAATGCCCATGACGGCTTGTAGAAAGAGATGCGGTCACAAAGCTAGGCTGGACCCAAAGCGTATAGGGCAGTGGTTCTCAACCTGTGGGTCCCCAGATGTTTTTGGCCTACAACTCAGAAATCCCAGCCAGTTTACCAGCTGTTAGGGTTTCTGGGAGTTGAAGGCCAAAAACATCTGGGGACCCCAGGTTGAGAACCACTGGTATAGGGCTTTATAGGTAATAATCTGCACTTTGAATTGGGTCTGGAAACTCATTGACAGCCAGTGGAGCTGCTTTAATAGGGACATTGTGTGCTCCCTATAACCAGCTCCAGTTAGTAATGGGGCCACCGACCTTTGCACTAACTGCAGTTTCCGAGCCATCTTCGAAGGCAGCCCCATGTAGTGCATTCTGGATGTAACTAAGGTGTGGACCACTGTGGCCAAATCAGGCTGGCGCACAAGCTTTAACTGTGCGAAGGCCCTTCCAGCCACCGCTGACACCTGAGTTTCAAGCATCAGCGCTGAGTCTAGGAGGACCCCCATACTTCGGACCTGTGTCCTCAAGGGGAGTGTAACCCCGTCGAGCACAGGTTGTCACCCTATACCCCGATCAGCCGCACGACTGACCAAGAGGACCTCTGTCTTATCTGGATTAAACTTCAGTTTGTTGGCCCTCATCCAATCCATCACAGTTGTCAAGCACTGCTCCGAGATCCGGGGAACTTCCTTGGAATGCGGTGGAAAAGAGTAGTAGAGTTGTGTGTCATCTGCGTAGAGATGGCACCCAACTCAAAAAACTCCAGATGGCTTCACTCAGCCATTTCATGTAGATGTTGAAAAGCATGGGGGAGAGAATGTAATTAAGCATCTACAATAAATATCTACTATGAAAACAGCCTCTCTTGCTTTCCTTATAGTATTCTGATTTTGCCTATGCATCTCTGTCTATGTAAGGTCATCTTCTATAGAAATGCAGCAGGATGTTGAGGGTATTTAATAGTAGTTTTTTTTAAGAAGTGCTAATATAAGTCATGGCAATTCAGAGTCCAAAAGCTTTCTTTGCTCATATGTTGGAAAGTTACAGGAGCTTGGTTGGCCTTCAGAGAAGCATCATTTTTTTCCCTTAAGGGAGAAAATCTGACAAAGTATGAAAGATGTCACCATAAAATAAAAAGGAGGAAGAAACCCCCTTAAAATCTCTTGCCAACGTATATGTTATGAGTTAGTAACAAAGATATATTATGGCAAAGCACACTGTATTTGATATAAGCTCTACTTGTCAATCAGTCATTCTTGCCCTTATGTACAGCCGCAAAAAGCAGTTTCATAAGGCAGAACTTTCCAAACATTTCATGCCGGTGACCCAACTTTATAGACATGCATCATTTTGCAACACAGTAATTCAGTTTTACTAGCAAACAGAAGATTTAACAAACTCCTTATAAGAGATATGGATATATGTGTATTTCCTCTTGTCTAACGTGCCAGCAAATCAAATGCGCACCTGAAATTTCAAAACCCTGAAACCAAAAGAAGTATTTGCTGCTAAGTGTAATGTATAGCAGCAAAACATACACTTTTGTAATCTGGCAATTACAGTTGCTGGCTGATTAGAATGCCTTCTTTTAAAACAAAACCAAAGCTTCCAGAAATTGAAAAGTAAACCTGGGGGTGCATCTATGCTGTAGAATGAATCCACTTGAACTGCCCTTGCTGTAGTAGTAATAACAACAACAAAAACAACAACAACTTTATTTTTGTACCCCGCCTCCATCTCACCCAGGGACTTGGGGCAGCTAACATATGGCACAATGTGCCTAAATCAATGCATAATTTAAAAAAAAACACAATACAATACAATACAATACAACACAAGATAAAACCAATAACATAAAATACAAAGTTTAAGCTCAAAACAGCGGCCAATAACCTATGATGAGAACTGCCGTAAAACATGACCAACTGCAAACATGCCCTAGTTGATTAGCAAAAATTTGCACTATTCTATTTCCTGCTCCTGTTTGCAGTTGGTCGTGTTTCACAACAGTTCTCATCATAGGTTATTCGTCGCCGTTTTGAGCTTAAACTTTGTTTTGTATGTTATTGGTTTTATCTTGTATTGTATTGCGTACTTATGCATTGTTTTAGTTGCACGTTAACTGCCCCGAGTCCCTGGGTGAGATGGAGGTGGGGTACAAAAATAAAGTTGTTGCTATTATTATTATTATTATTATTATTATTATTATTATTATTACCGAAAAGGCAGTTCCAAGTGGATTCATTCCAGATTACAAAAAGTGTATCTGCTGTGCTATGGCATTAATTGTGGACCATTGGAACTAGGCATTCTCAAAATCTTGTCGAAACATGCAAGTCTTCAATTCCTTCCAGAAAGAGGACGTGTGGGGGCCTGCCTAATCTCCCTGGGGAGGGTGTCCCAAAGCCAGAGGGTCACCACTGAGAAGGCCCTCTCAGAGACTGGCTTTAAGCCCATCTTTAAATCTCTTTTCCTGTCCACCAACATTTTGTTTTCCGTTCTTGAATTGGGAGTATAGTAACTGCTTTGCGAGACGGTGGTCGGGCATTCAGACAACATGGCCAGTCCAGCAGATTTGATGCCGTAGGACCATTGCTTCAATGCTAGCGGTCTTTGCTTCGTTCAGCATTCTGACATTTGTCCACCCGTCTTCCCAAGAGATTTGCAGGATTTTTCGGAGGCATCGCTGATGGAATCGTTCCAGGAGTTGAGTGTGACATCTGTAGATAGTCCACGTCTCTCAGGCGTATAGCAGGGTTGGGAGGACAATAGCTTTATAAACAAGCACCTTGGTCTACCTATGGATGTCCCTATCCTCAAACACTCTCTACCTCATTTGAAAAAAATGCTGCACTCGCAGAGCTCAGGCGGTGTTGCATTTCAATATCCATGTTGACTTTTGTGGAGAGGTAGCAGAAATGGTCAACATTTTCTAATGTTACACCATTAAACTGTATTTCTGGCATTGGAGGGATTGCCTGGTGACTGCTGGAACAGCACTTTGGTTTTCTCGATGTTCAATGACAGGCCGAGCTTCTCATATGCTTCTGCAAAGATATTTAGAGTGCCTTGCAGGTCTTCTTCTGAATGTGCACAAACTACATTATCATCACCATATTGGAGTTCTATAACAGATGTTGTTGTGACTTTGGTTTTGGCTTTCAGTCTGCAGAGGTTAAATAGCTTGCTATTTGTCTGATAGATTATTCCCACTCTGGTGGGAAGCTTCCCACCAACAAAATGAAGAATCAATATGTAGAGCTATGTTAGATCAGCACTCTGAGTTACTATCCGATCTTAGAATACAGTTCCTATAATAAAGCTGTATTTCTTTCTCCTAGTCACTGATATGTTTGTTCCTTGAATCAAGATCTCTAACTGTTACATGCAGTCTACCAGGTTATGTGAGCCTAAATTGTTTTAAGAGGTCCATGGAAGAATTAAGGTAGAAAAAAGTATCAAGTCATGTGTGGAGAAGTAATGAGTCATGATTATGCCCAAGCTGAATGGGAAGAATTATTCAGATTGGGCTTACTGAAAAAAAAAACTTGTACTGGCAACTTTTGGGCTGCTTTTTGTATGCAAAGAGGAAAGACAGAAACTGAAATCTCAATATGGGATTCTAATGGCCTGAGAATTTAATGCATATTAACATTTTCACTTACTGAAGGGATTCATAAGCAAATAGAGAGTGGACTGCACAGTAGACACTCCAGAAAACCGTCAAAGAAAACATGAGTTTGAACTAAGACTTGAACCACAAAGCATAGCTTCATATCACAAAAATGCAGGGATGTGAGGAAACAGGAGACATTACGAAAATATTAAGAAGAACATGGAATGCCAATTTTTAAATGTAGCTTACCCACACGCTTAGGCAACCCTTTAGGTCGACCTTTCAAAGATGTTAAAGTGAAGCCAGCACACTTCCTCAGATTCACACATTTAAGTTTTACTACTGCATATGGAAGACATTGTCTAGGCCTGTCCACAGGTTTTGCAAGTTCGTTATATTCATATAAATATACCTGCAAATGTGAAAATATTACAAGAATATTACCAGCTGGATTTATTAAGATATAAAGTTACATACAAAAATTGTCTTCAGGGCTTTACTAAATTTCAGTTAAAAAATGACTTACAAAACACCTACTTTTTAAAGAAACCTCCCTCTCTGTTTATATAACCATACACGACTATATCCAAAATCACAGACCACTGCAACTTTTGCGGAAACATTAAATGCACTGATTATTGGACTGATCTATTAATATCTCATTGTAAGCTGCCCTGAACATATGTGGCTGTATGGGGCTCTCAGGAGAACCTCTGGGAGCCACATGTGCCTGAACGGTCCTCCTCTTGGCGGGGGGGGGGGGGGGGTTCAGTGGCCCGTCGCACCCTCCTGCCAAGAGAAGTGGTTGACACACCACTGTGCTAGGCTCTTGGGAGAGCACAGCCATGTGTCCCTCAGAGTGCTCCTCTTTACAGGAAGACATGGCAGCCCACCATGTCCTACCATAAAGAGGAGGGCTTGACACACAGCTGTGTGAGGCTCTCAGGAACTGATTTGTACCTTCTTCCTTCCTGTGGGTCTTTTCTCGCTATACTGCTACAGCTCTAAGATTCAATACATGCACAGTATGGAATCCTGGCTTTGTAGCGTGGGCAGAGGCACTACAGTACTACTTTCTAGCAGAACATTTTTCTTGTGTTCCAAGTTCTGAGAGTTTTTGTCCAAAAAAAAAAGTAACTTTTCCAAGCTCTGGTTTCAAACAAACATGAAAAATTAAATATACGGCATTTTATCAGGTCATTTGTTATAAAATAATAGTTGCCTACCAAAGAACCCAGGGCCTGATTCTCCAATAAGTCTTTAACTGAAGGATGAACTGTAGACATGTGGCAATCAAAATTTGGTGCTGGATCCAAAGCAATTTTCTTTTTGCCTTTAGCAGGGGGAATCTTTTTTACTTTTCCTAAAAGAACCTGTTCATATAAGGGGCAAAACACAGCAAAGTAAATTATATACAACTTTGTATTTTTTTAAAAGCATCAGATTCCAGTAAAATCAACGGGCAGCCTTCTTTCATATGAACCTGCTATAATTTACAACCAGCCTCAGAAGTTATAAATCTAGGTAGGTTAGAAATATTTAGAAAAAAACCATTTTAAATTGCAGCAACTGGACTATGGAATTCCCTCCCAAGAGAGGCAAGATCATTTACTATCCAAAAATGTTATTTTGATGTATTGTTGAAGGCTTTCATGGCCAGAATCACTGGGTTATTGTAGGTTTTTTGGGCTGTATGGCCATGTTCTAGAAACGTTCTCTCCTGACTTTTTGTCTGCCATAAAAGCAGGCAAAACATCAGGAGAGAATGCTTCTAGAACATACCCATACAGCCCGAAAAACCTACAACAACCCAATGTTATTTTGGGTTTTAATGTATAACGGTTGGTCTTCCATTTTAATGAGTTAATTATAGTAATAGAATATTTGATACCTTTAAACAGCAAGCTCTGATTATTCCCAGTTATGGTATCTTATATCAAGAGAAGCTATCCTAACTGCAAAGAGTGTTGTACTAAATAAGTATCATGTCAATGCAATCTTATACCACTGTACTTTGGAACAGACCCCATTGTATTCACAGTGTTATGTCAGGATTTGCCACAGGAACTGTGATACCTGAGATGAAAGCCTCTTTCTCTCCACAGGAATGGACTATATCTTCCTTCTCAAATGTTTTGAAAATATTTGTATTGAAAATATAACCTCCCCGCTATGTACTGACGCTACTGCAAACTTCCTCACCAATTAATGCTAAAACTATCACTCAGCAATACAATATATTATGATTAAAATGTTATTTATTTATCAATTTGTTTAATTTATATTTCGTTTTTATCCTTGTATAAGAGCTAATAACGGCGCTCCATGCAGTCATGTCGGCCACATGACCTTGGAGGTGTCTATGGACAACGCCGGCTCTTCGGCTTAGAAATGGAGATGAGCACCACACCGCAGAGTCAGACATGACTGGACTTAATGTCAGGGTACAACCTTTACTTTTACTATAAGAGCTAATATAAGTGACTTTGAATTTTACGTAACAGATTAGAAGCAGCAGCTTTTAAAACATGTTATGAAAATCCAGGAAATCAGAAGACGCTTACTTCTTGGGAGGAGAGCAATGTCCAGTCTGATAAAATAGTAAAGAGTAGAGACATCAGACTGGCAACAAAGCTCCGCCTAGTCAAAGCCATGGTATTCCCTGTAGTCACCTACGGATGTGAGAGCTGGACCTTAGGGAAGGCTGAGCGAAGGAAGATCGATGCTTTTGAGCTGTGGTGTTGGAGGAAAGTTCTGAGAGTGCCTTGGACTGCGAGAAGATCCAACCAGTCCATCTCCAAGAAATAAAGCCCGACTGCTCATTGGAGGGAAGGATACTAGAGACAAAGTTGAAGTACTTTGGCCACATCATGAGGAGACAGCAAAGCCTGGAGAAGACAATTATGCTGGGGAAGGTGGAAGGTAAAAGGAAGAGGCCAAGGGCAAGATGGATGGATGGCATCCTTGAAGCGACTGATTGACTTGAAGGAGCTGGGGTGTTGACGACCGACAGGGGGCTCTGGCATGGGACTGGTCCATGAGGTCACGAAGAGTCGGAGACGACTGAACGAATGAACAAAAACAATGAAAATAAAATACTTCCACCTCTTTTTGGTCACTAAGACCAAACTTACTTCCATCTCTTAGTGACCAAAATCTTTTTGGTCACTTTGGTCACTCTTTTTTTCAGTGCTTGTTCAAGTGTAGTTTCTGTTTTAATGAAGTAACACAAAGTTTTATCCCATGTTGAAAGTTTTCCTTCCTCCACTATACTTTGGGTGCAAAAGTAAGTTTGAAAGTCCTTGGCCACAAATAGCATTTTGAGTCTGCTTAACAAATGAAGAATTGAAAATGGCTGTATTTGATTCACATACTACCTTGATTCCAAAGTAGAATTCAATGTAATTGAATTAGAAATGCCATGTGTTTCTGTTGATTTATTTCTCACAGATGTTCTAGGCATAGCTTCCTTAATCTTCAGATGGTTCTTCCTTGAATGAAACTGTCATTCGTTCATCTCTTCCACACAGTCCTTTACTATATTGATTTTATCATCTTTTTGTTGCTACTTGATCATGTAATGTGTTCTGCTGGTCATAGCCTGTGCCCATTCGTGGCTTAAATCTCCCTTTGATTTCTTGGATCTTGTGGAGGAGGTCTCTTGTTCCTACTTTTTTGTTGTCATTTTTCTTTTCTCCTTACTGATTATCATAGTAGTTCTATTTGTCCTTGCACACAAGTAACTGGATAGTTACATTCAGGGTTCTGGCTCTACTTCTGTCAGTTTGCACTAGTAATTTCCCCTTAACTGCTTAAAAAGTTTTATTTGTTATTCATTAAGGCTTCCTTTTCTGTTTGACCGATAATATCTTTTTCATTTCTCCATGATAATGTCCTTGTTTTCAGTTCTTCCAGCAATAGCAAAAATTAGGTGTTATCTTTAAATAATATTCTTCAAATTATAATTTTGAATGATGGTTGGTTTAGAATTTTTTTCCAGCAGTTTCTTTTATACCACAAGATATTTCTGATGTTACTTTTACAGAGAGAATACAGCTTCTCCATCTTATGCTTCTGATTATGTAAATTATTTGATTTCAATATTAGCATCAGGTGATACCTCTGCATAGTAATCTCTTATTTAACTGGAACTCAAGAAACTGGAATTCGTAAGCAACTAGCAAAAAATACTTTAAATAAAAATTAAAATATACTTATAATACAGTGAAACTGTGTTACCTTAAGTTAAGTCTGTCTTTATTTGCTTTTAATTACTGTATTTCAATATTAATATCAAGTTAATAAAGAGTGTATGGTATGGTATATATTATTACACCTATTTTAATAGTAACTCTCCAGCAACCAGAAACTGAATTTATCTGGCATCTACCAGACACGCAATTGGATAACCAATTATGTGACTCATAGAGACCACAACAATGACAAAACAAAACCCAGATAATCAGAATGCTATCTCTATCTAACACAATCACTTGTGCAAGCATACAGAACAAGAATTAATAGCTAGAAATTGTGTATTAATAAATCTAGATTCCAAATTATTTATTTACTTACTATATTTATATACCGTCTTTCTCACCGGGGGGGGGGGGGGGGGGGGGGACGACTCAAGGTGGTTTACAGCATATTGATGGCAAAAATTCAATGCCATATACAAATAAACAGAAAAAACATAACAACTAAAAACTAACATATAAATATAAATTAAAATGATTTAAAACCATTAAACTTAAGACATAAACAATATTTAAACATTAAGACAAAGTATTAAAACATCCTAGTATAAATATTAAAAGTGTTTAACTTATGGGAGGTAATTATAAGCTTTACTGCGTAACAAGGTATTGATATTTCTATTCCACGTTTTGTCCAGCTTTAAAATACTTGCATTTTATTTTCACAGTTTAAACTAACGGTTCTCAACCAGGGAGTCGCGACCCTAAAGGGGTTGATCCACAATTTGTGAGGAGTTGTGTCACTGCCTCCTTCTGCCCCGCCTCCCTGGCATGTCTGCCAAGTTCCCTCTGCCAGCCAAACAGCCAGCTGAGCTGCCTTCCCTTCTCCCATAGAGCGCTGCCAGTTTTAACTCATTTCCCTCCTCTCTCTCGCCGCTCCTAAACCCAGCTGTGCCAACCGTGCATGCGTGTCCCGCAGAGGGAGGCACAATCCTCCAGGCCACCTGAGGTTGCTCTCTCCCACAGAACAGGTGCCACTGTCCTGCATGAGACCTCGTCTCCTCCCCCCCCCCTCCATCACGCCGATCCATGAGGTTGCCGAAGTGAGAGGACACCATGGAGGGCATCCTCAGTCACCAAGTGGCATCGCTCCCAGCATGCAGCATAGGCTGCTCCTGCCGCAGCATCATTCCCAGCATACAGCACAGGCTGCTGCTACTGCCGCTGTCACACCTGTCACCTCCACCGCCACCTCCTCTGCTGCCGTCAATTCTCCAGTTGCTGTGCTGCATGCTGGGAGTGATGCTGCGGGGCAACCGGAGAGCAGAGGTGGAGGAAGTGGCGGCGGAGTTGACAGGCACGGCAGCAGGAGTGGACTGGGCTGCAGGCTGGGGCCTTGCCTCCTCCTCCCTCCCATTCATGAAAGGAGTTGCCAAAGTGATAGGATGTCATGTAGGGTGTTGTTGGTTGACGTGCAGAAGCACAGCATTGCTCCCAGCATGCAACACAGGCCACTTCTGCCACCACTGTGGCAACTGTCACCTCCGCCACCATTGCCTCCTCCTCTGTTGCTGTAACTTTCTCCTGTTGCCTCGCAGCATCACTTTCTTTGCATCGATCCTGGGAGACATGATGGAGGGCGATGCGGCAGACCTGGAGACCCAGCACTCAGGCAACATGGGGTGAGAAGGGCGGGATATAAATACAGTAAATAAATAAATTTCATGTTTATGGTTGGGGGCCAGCACAACATGAGGAACTGTATTAAGTTGTCGCAGCATTATAAAGGTTGTGAATCATTGGTTTAAAGCAATTCCTCCTTTAACAGGAAGAAAGAAATATCTGGCCTCGAATCAATGAACATCTGCCCCAACATCATAAAACAAGGTAGTTTGTCTAGCACTCCCAATTTTCTTACATATCACTTACCCTGAAAATGATGACATTTTCTACAGGCGATGAGCAGCTGGCTGCATATTTCAGAGCAATATCAACATGTCTGAATAAATATACTCCCAGGTGTCGATTTCCAATCTCATTCATCATTTTTAGTTGCTGACCAGTATGCAGGCCATTCTGACAGATTTTTGAAACATCATCCTTACTGACTACTAAAAAACATGGACGTTCTTTATCTGGTTTTCTTTCTTGGCGCAAACTACTCCTAACAAGAATAAAGTGATAATACTTATTTCCAAATGCAGTGGGCCTCTGGATACCAAAATCTGTGTACAGGCAGTCCCCAAGTTACGAACAAGATAAGTTCTGTACATTTCTTCTTAAGTTGAATTTGTATGTAAATTGGAACAGGCACATTTTTAAGTGTAACTCTAGCCAAATGTGTATTTTTAAGCTTTGGATAGCATAGAGAAGGGTTAATCCCTATGGCATTAGCTTTACTGTCTGTGTTCAGAAGATTTCACCTCACTTTCTGTCCCTGTGAGAATTGAGTTTTGAAAAAAAAAGGCTTGTTGTGGAAACAAGGATTGGTGAGAAAGCTTCAATTGAGAAATCTTTCCCCCATGACAACTCTTTCAGGAGTGAATTTCCATTCCGAGAAGTCGACTTTTCTCACTTTCTGTTGTTTCACTCCTGTCTGTAACTCTGAGTCTTTTATTTATTTATTTATTTATTTACTTATTATTTAAACTTATACGCCGCCACTCCCCTGGGGCTCGGAGCGGCTTACAAGAATAGCTAAAATCTAACAAAATTTAAAAGCAATTTAAAACAATTTAAAAACAACAATATCAAACATTAAAAGCCTGTCGAAACAGGTATGTCTTACATGCCCTGTGGAAAGCTGGTAAGTCCCGCAAGGCACGGACTTCAGGTGGCAGAGTATTCCAGAGTGATGGTGCCACTGCTGTGAAGGCTCTGTGTCTGGTTGCTCTGCGTCTGGTTGCTGTTGTAAGTTGGATGTTTGTAACTTGGGAACTGCCTGTATTTCAGAACCCATTATATACAGCGGCATAGAAAAATAGTGTTCCTTATATAAAATAACAAAATCAAAGCTTGATTATTGGTTATTTATTGAATATATTTAAGTTGTGGATTGTTGAATCTGTGACTATAGAATCAGTGGGTACAGAGAGCCAATTGTAATGCTACACATATAATATAAATTAGCTGCAGCGATAATTATTTGATTCAAAATACATTTATCCTATATTAATTTGCAAGAAAAATATAATTATCTAGACCAGTTTATGCTAGATATCTCATTGTGTACCTTAACTGGATTTATTCGAACCATCCTAAATCAAAACATGTCTTGTGTTTCTGGAATTGAGAAGACATAAGGTCAAGTGCCTAACTCAATCACAGAACTCATTGCGTGGATTTGGGCATGTTACTATTCTGTTGTCTTTCTACTTCATAATATTGCTGAAAAGACTTACCGTACATTAACAGCATCTTCTGGGAAGAAGCATATGGTACACGTTATAAAAATAAATAAATTAGATTGTCATATAGAAATTACCTTTTCATGACAAATTCTTCTTCTAGGTGTTTATTTTGCACCATTTCTATCTTCTCAATTGACCATAAATTCTCAAAATTGTCTTCTGTGGCAAGGCAGCCTTGAATCAAACACTGTTTAACCTCATCATATTCCCTTTTATCGGCAAAACACTCTGTCAGAATAACTAAATGAAGAAAGCAAGAGAAATAGAAGTGTAAAAGCATCATGGCAAAAACAAAACAATTGTTGCTGCCAGAGCAACTAGGTAAGTACAAAGCCTTGGGACACAGTATAATCTTCCAAAGACAATAGTCTTGTAAAGGTAAAAATAATAAGATTAGGGAGGAAGAATTACTATAATCAGATCTTTAAAATGGCAATCTCATAAAAATTCCAACTTTTGGGAAAATATTTCATTCCCTGTTAAAATAATGTCTTTCTTGCACAGAAAATCAATATCTGTACAGAATAAGCCTAT